GATGGGGGGTTGGCCGCTGCAATGGCTCGATGCCCTTCCCCTGCCCCCTCTAGGGGCGGGGGCGGGCGGCGACGGCGACGCAGCTGCGTTTTCCAGAAGGGTTCAACGAACATGGAATGGGCGAACGCCGCCTGCACGTCTGCTCGGAGCGAGCCGCCGCTTCAAACCTGCGCAGCGCGCAGCGCTCGAGCTCTGCCTGCACTGAGACAGAGCGCAACGCCCGCCTGACAGGCTCTACAACGAGACGCCCTCGTTCTCTGTCCACTTGCGGAAGCTCTCAGAGTACGTAGCATGCGTGAACGCGGACTTGCTCCCCACGTCGCACTGCGGGCGCGTCCTCTGCGGCGGCGGGGTAAAGCCCGCGACGATAGGGGCGGGCGAAGCTGCGTCGGAACCATCGCGCGGGCCGGGGACCGACGGCGTTCCTTGCGTCGCGGTCGGCGTCGGCTCTGTCACGGGGGTCGGCTTGGCGACGCGGTGCCCGATTTGCTTCAAGAGCTTGATGCTTGAGAGCTCAACGTTTTTCTTCAGGCAATTGAGCTCTGACCCCTTGAGCTTCAGCTTCTGTTTGGGCTCGGTGTTCTCTGTCGCCAACTTCTCCGCGGGGTCTGCCGTCTTGAGCTGTTGTTTGAGATATTTGTTCTCGATGCGCAACTGAGTGTTATCCATCGTCCGACTGCGGTAGGGGCCCTTGCACGTCCACTTCTGCATCGGCGGCGTCGGCCGATTGGGCGGGGTCGAATGGGCGCCTGGATATGCGCTTGAAAGCTTGAATGGATGCCTGAGCAACAACTGGCTACGAATATGAGCGGCCCCCACATTGCGGGATCTGGGTGCCCCAAATCCCCCGGCGTTGCGAGGCCCCCCCCTCCCCCTTCTTGGCGGCGCCTTCCTTGCCCCCGCCCGTGGCCCCGCCCTCGCACGCGGCCTTCGGGGCGGGATCCCCCCCGAGGCCTTAGAGGGCCTCGGAGTGGAAGCCTCGGGCGGGGCAGACGTCTTCGCGGGCGAAACGCGGGCGTCGGCAGAGCCCTCCTCGACGCGGAACAGATGCTCGCCTTTGCGCAGCGCCCGCGGGTTGATCAAAGCAGGAATTGAATTATTGCGCAGGTTTGCTTCGCCCCTCCTGTCTGGCGAGCTGCGCTTAATGTCTACAGGGGCGCGGGTGGCGGCCACGATTGATCTCGCGCTGTCCTGGGCCACGGGGGCGCAGAAGCACGGGGCAATGACGGGCCCATCGCTGCTCGCACCCAAATCTGGCGGGAGGCGCACACGCGTTGCACTTCTCTGTCGGGCTCAGCGTGCCTGGGGCCCAGCATGTGACCTCGATCGCGTTGGTCGGCGCGCGAGCCCTCGTGCCCGCGCTGGCAGTCAGCGGGATCAGGATCAACGCCCCCACTTCGCACGCCTTCTGTCTGCGAATGCTGAGCGACCTGCTTCGGCTTCGCCGAATGCGAAACTGACGGCCCACATTTCGATTGCAAGGAGCGGCACACATGAAACAAGGCCTGCCTCACGTCGGCCACCAACATCTCGACGCCCATCTCATACTGGTCCTAGCGGCAGCGGTCGCTTTCGCTCTCCCTCTCGCTCTCTCTCTCTCTCTCTCTCTCTCTCCCGCTCTCTCTCTCTCTCTCTCTCTCTCTCTCTCTCTCTCTCTCTCTCTCTCTCTTCTCTCTCTCTCTCTCCCTCTCTATCTGTCTCTCTCGCTCTCTTCTCTCTCTCTCTCTTTCTCTCTCTCTCTCTCTCTCTCTCTTTTCTCTCTCCCTCTCTCTCTCTCTCTCTCTCTCTCTATCTCTCTCTCTCCTCTCTATCTCTCTCTCTTTCTCTTCCCCTATGCATCTCTCCCTCTCTCTCGTGTCTTCTTTATATATGTATATATATATATATAAATATGTTGTTTGTCCTCCCTCTCTCTCTCTCTTTATATATCTCTCTCTCCCATTATCTTCGTCGTCTCTCTCTTTCTCTCTCTCTCGTTCTCTTCTCTCCTCTACTCTTTATCTCTGCTCTCCTCTTTCTTCTCTCTCTCTCTCTCTCGCTTTCCTCTCTCTCTATCTCTTCGTTTCTCTCCTCTCTCTATACTCCTTCTCTCTCCTCTCCTCTCTTTCTATCTCTTCTTTTTTCTCTCTCCCTCACTCATCACTCACCCACGCTCTCTCTATTCTATCTATATGTATATATATCTTTCTTATTTATTTCTCTCTCTCTCTCTCTATATATCTCTCTCTCTCTCCACTCTCTCTCTCTTCCTCCTCCTCTCTCTCTTCTCTCTCTCTTTCTCCTCTCCTCTCTCTCTCTCTCTCTCTTTCTCCTCTCCGCCCGCTCTTTCCCCCCCCTCCCCGCCCTTTCATTATTCCCTCCATTCGCCTCCGCTCCCCCCCCTCCCCCCCCCCCCTCCTTCGCCTCCACATTCGCCTCCTGCACCTCCCTTCCCTCGTTCTCCCCATACCCCTCCCCGCCATCCCCCCCCCCCCCCCCCCCAGTCCCATCCCCCGCTGAGGGCAGGCGGCCGCAATTCGGTTCCAGCGCGTTCAGCGAACCCTTGGTGTTGAAGGTGTTGAATGCCTTAGGGCGTCCACGGGGCGAGGAAACTGGGGGCGGCGGGGGGGCGGGGGAAATTTGGAGGGGGGGGGGGCAAAAAGGATGGGGAGGGGGGGGGGGGGTGGCGGCGGGATGAGGAGGGGAGCATAATGGGGAGGAGGAGGAGGAGGAGGAGAGGAGGAGGAGGAGGAGGAGGAGGAGGAGGAGGAGGGGAGGCGGAGGAGGAGGAGGAGGAGGAGGAGGATTTGACCAAGGCCCTCACCGATCCCACTCACCCCTCGACACCAAATCGATCAAGCTCCTCGTCGATGAAGCTACTCATCGGTCAAGCTCCTCATCAACGCTTTGATGTTAAACCATACCGAAGCGAAAGCGGCCCCCGAAATCGCCAAAGCGTTGTTTAGGTCGAGCCCAGCTGCGAGGAGGGGGGGGGGGGGGGGGAGGGGGGATGAGGAGGAGGGGGGTAAGGGTGACGAGGGAGAGGGCGCGGACACTGATAATGATGATGCCGATGATGGGGAGGAGGAGGAGGAGGAGGAGGAGGAGGAGGAGGAGGAGGAGGAGGAGGAGGAGGAGGAGGAGGAGGAGGAGGAGGGGGGGAGGAGTAGGAGGAGCAGGAGGAGGAAAATTGGACGGGGGCCTTGTACTCGCCGTGCAGCTGGCCAACGCCGACCTTCACGTCGCCGTCGTCGGCCCCTTTGTCGTAGTCGTCGGCCTTTTTGTCGTCGTCGGCCCCCTCGTTGTCGCCGTCGCCCCCCTCGACCTCCAACGTGGCCTCATCGGAGCCGAGAGCCTTGATAGCGTGCTTCATTTTATCCTTCTCGACGGTGACGCCTACCTTGTAGCCGCGGTATGCCAGGCAATTGGAAGAGGCGCCGCCCGTGCTGGAAAACTGTCTGAAGCCAGACCCACTTGTTTCGTCGAAGCGCCATCTGAAGTCGTGGCGATGATGGGCCTGGGCGGGTCCAAGTCCCCGGAAACGGGGTAGCTCTCCCAGACCGTCCCCAACAGCCATTGGCCGATCTCCTTGAGGCTGCCGAAGCTCCTGCGGCTTCTGGAATTCTTGCAATGGACGCGCATGACGCACTTTACCTGGAAGTCGCCCATGACTTCGATGCGGCCCGTCGTCGCCATGCCAACTTTCGCCATGACGGTGCCAGCGTGGCGGATCATCGTGCTAACCTGGATCGCGCTCGCCTTGTTCTTGGTCGCGATGCTCGCGCAGCCCGCGCTCGTGAACAGGCGACACTCGTTGCCGTGGCAGGAGTTCCCAGGTGCCATCAAACACGACTTCACACACGCCATGATATAATCTGGCGCGTGGACCAGCGGAACCGACGCGAATGCCTTGCACGTCGTCCCGCTGATGTCTTTCCTGAACCTGAAGGTCTTGGATAACTCCTCTAGACCTTTCAAGTGGACTGGGCCGTCGCCCCCACTCCATTCCTTCACGAACATGCAGAGGCCGTGGCATTGGCCATCCAGGAAGGGCCTGTTCCTCTCCACGTCCCTGGCGATGGCGGCCCACGTCTTATCATCGGCCTTGCCCTCGATTTTCACCACGCGGGAATGCATCTGGAGCAGCGTCAGCATCGTAGATTGGACCTTCTGCGAGCCGTGAGACGAGTTTTTCGGCTTCCTGGATGACACTGCAGAAGTCTGGGCAGTTCTTAGGCACTACCTCGCGTATGCTCGTCCAGTGTAGGCCGTTCTCAACCGCCTCGGGGGCGAGGTCGTCGTCGTCGCTGTCGTCGTCGTTGTCGTCGTCGTCGTCGTCTTCGTCGTCGTCGTCGTCGTCGCCGCCGTCGTCGTCGTCGTCGTCGTCGTCGTCGTCGGCCGCCTCCTTGTAAGAAGGGCGCGCCGAGTGAAACTTCTCCTCCGCCAGGTGGCCGTCGACGACCAACGTGTCCATCGTCAAGGTGGTCTTGCATCCCGCGTCGATGCAGCGCAACCCCGTGTTGGCGCGGCCGTTCGTGATCGAGAGGTAACGCACATTGTCCGAGCTCATCGGCGGGATGGTGCCGCCTGAGGTGGCGCTCATCTGGTCCTGGAACTCGATCTGCTTCTGACGAGTCTCGGTGTCGCGGCTGAGCTCGACGGCGACCCCCCCCCCCCATCCGCCTCGAGGGGGAAGGGGCATCTAAGGTTGCAAAACAAATGATGCGGATAAAGAGGAGGGCGCGAGTGAAGAGGTGGAGGACGGCGACGCAATGGGGAGGAGGGTCATGAGGGATATGTGGAAATCATGGCAGAGAGAACGTGGAGAGCAGGACTGGGCGTCGTCGTCGTCGGGGATTCCAGTGGTCCCGCATATCGTCGCCCCCCTCGTCGTCGTCGTCGTCGTCGTCGTCGTCGTTGTCGTCGTCGTCGTCGTCGTATACCTCCTTATCCCCCCCCTCCCTGTGTCTTCTCCTGATCCTTCCCGCTTTCTCCCTATAGCCGTTTTTTGGGTTTACGCCCAAAGCCTCAGACCAACTGAAGCCAACGGTGGAGATGTGCTTGATCAGGCCGTGCACATCGACGGTTCCCACGCCGATGCCGTGCCCGTTGGACGGTTCCACACCGACCTGAAACGGTTTGCTCTGCTCGCGGCAACACAAGCTTGCAACCTCGAGTTTCTGAATCATTTGGTCCTGAATGGTTTGAAGTTCGCATGCTGCGGGTCCCCAGAGAGGCCCATTATTGATCCAAGTGAACAGCTCCGGATGGCTGGCGCTCGCGCCCGCCATGGCGCCGAAGGGTGAGTGAAAACACGCGCTCGCCGATGGCAGCTATCACCAAGAAGGCTGAAAAAAGGCCGCGGGACAAACGAAACCAGACAACGATCGTATTGAAACTCCGTGGGACCAAAACCTCATGCGCAGGAATTCGAACATAAATGACACACGATCTGAAAGACTGGCTGTGGCCCAAGACTATAAGAATTCGGTCAACGAGCTTACGCTAAGCAGGTTAACGGTTCCTCCGTGGATGTGTTCGTAACCTTACGCATTCAAGTTAGCAAACGCATGCTACCCGCCGCCCTATCGGGCCTAACCCACCTACGCGACGAACCTTGCATGCTTACGAAACTGGCTCTGTGGATCCGCTGGGAAGCTAAAGTGCGCATGAGAATGGCGCACACATGGATGCACGTGGGACATTTACACAAGTCATACACGACGTGCACACTCTTATGTGAAACTGTTAAACGGTATGTTAATCGTATGTATACGTTTACAGCCAAGTGATCCGCATGCTAAAGACCACGGCGGTCCAAGTACGGCGGGTTGCCTCCACCAAGGCGAGGCAATCCCAAGTTGGGCGACGGTTGTATTCGGAGGTTGGGGGGTGATATCGACGCGGGGAAGAAAACACCCCTACCAGGAAACCGGTTTCGGTTTCGGGTCGCGCGTGCGGGCCAGCGATGATAAATTGCGTGGGCGGGCGAGCGGAATGGACTTCCCGCTGTTGATGCGAAGCCTGGCCAAATGTTGTCCCCCCCCCCGTTGACGCGGAGGATCGGGGGTGTCCCGCCGGTTGGTTGGCGGTGGTTTGGGAGTGCCCCGATGATCCCGATGGTACCCGCATGGTGCCGCGACACTGTTCACATGGTGTTCACATGGTGTCCAGATAGTGTCTCGTTGGTATTCTCATGTTCCCATGGTGCGCCGATGTTGCCATTCATTTGCCCCCCGCAATGTCTTCAGGTGCTGTTCCCAATGGTGTGTCGATGGTGCCCCGATTGTGTCCGCATGGTGTCCGCAGGATGTTCACATGGAGTCCAAGTGGTGACCACATAGGTGTCCACGTGGTGTCGCGGTGGTGCCCACATGGTGTCCCGATGGTGCCCCAGTGGTGTCCTGGTGGTGTCCCGACGGTGTCACCAGTTCGCGGACGCATTACCAGCGTCGTCACCATCGCAATCAGCACAATTGTCATCACTTGATCACCCGAATGGCTGATCAGTTGGTCAAACATTACTAGTGTTGGTGCTGGTGCCAACGTGCAGGCTTCCGAAATTACTCACCCCATGGAATGAACTACCGTAGCGAGGAACGGCTGAAGGGGGGCTCCCAGGAGGGTTGGCCATGGTTGATTGGTGTTGGCTGGTGTTGGCTGGAGGGTTGGCTGGAGGTGTGGCCAGAGCGTTGGCCAGAGCGTTGGCTGGGTTTGGCAGGAGGGTTGACCAGGGTTGGCAAGGCGTCGATACGGTCGGAATGCTGTCGGCGAGAATGGGGACGAAAAATGGAATGGTCACGATGATGAGGAAGATGATGATGATGATGAAGAGGAGGAGGACGTCGAGGTGGATGGTGTTGTTGACGATGATAATGTTGATGATGATGATGATGATGATGATGATGCTGATGATGGTGATGATGGAGATGATGGTGATGATGATGAAGATAATGCTGATGATGGTGGTGTTGGTGGTGATGGCGATGGTGATGGTGATGGTGATACTGATGATGAGAATGATGATGGTGGTGGTTTTCTGGGAGGAGGAGGTACCGATTCCCCCACCCGTGCCTCGTTTTCGCCTTTCTACGCCTCCTGGGAGGCCCTCGTCACCATGGCTGGATTCGCCTCGGAATTCTTTTCACGGCGCACCCCGGGAGACGCTTTCGGAGTAGCGGTATCGGTGTAGTTTGGTTTCCCCGCGGTGCAGGTGACGGTGACGATGATGTTGATTTCGACGAAGATGACGATGACCATGACGATGACGATGACGATTTCGATGACGGTGATGATGACGACGACGACGATGATGATGATGATGATGATGTTGATGATGACGATGATGATGATGATGATGTTGATGGTGATGGTGATGGTGATGTTGATTGTGATGATGATGCTTGCGATGATGATGCTGGTTATGCTGATGATGCTGATGCTGAGGCTGAGGCTGAGGCTGAGGCTGAGGCTGAGGCTGATGCTGCTGACGACGATGACGATGATGCTGATTATCATGATGATGACGATGCTGGTGACGAGTATGATGATGATGGCGAGGTGATGATAACTGTGCTAGTATGGATGATGATGATGACGATGATGATGACGACGATGCTGGCCATGACGAGGTTGCTGTTGATGATTGCAGGGATTATGATCATGATGATGACGATGATGGTGCTGTTTATGATGGTGCTGATGATGATGGTGGTGGTGATGCTGATGATGATGACGTCGTTGACAAGGAGGATGAGGAGAAGGAGCAGGATGAAGGTGATGATGAGGTTGATGATGACGATGTGGATGAGAAACAGTCCCTGCCCTTTTTTTAATGGGATTCGCTGCCGGTGCCGTCACTGGCGCTGTCCTCTTGAGACAAAGCGTAGCCTGCCAATCAGCGGCCGCTGTCGGTCTTGGGCAGCCTTTGCTGTTAGGCACCGCACTCGTGCCGGGCGTGCCAAGAGGACGTCTGGCGCGGCTCGCTGGACGACTGCGAGAAGTCGAAGCGGCCGATGTTTGTCGGCCCAGGCGGCGGGCTCGTTCCTCGCAGGCTCGAAGACCTGAACGAGAAACACCCGGCATGACCAGAAGCGTTCGCAGGTCCGCGTGCATCTCCTGGGGCGGCGGCGGCCCCCCCCCTGGGCGGCGCCTCCTGCGCCGCCCCCTTGCACGCCAGGGGTGGGCCTGAACGGTGTTTGGGCGGTTTCGTGGGCTGTTTTCGTTTCGATTTCGTTTTGCGTTCAAGGCAGGTTGGAGACAAAACGAGGGAATTGGAAAACAAAACGAAAACGAAAAACACCGTTTAGGTTCAGCCCTGTTGCACGCTGCGCGCGCCAGGGAGGGGGGGGGCTCGGCGCCTGTCCAAGAAGTCCGCACGGACCTCCGACGGTTTATGTCCGTGCAGAGCTTCCTCGTTCTGGAGACATCCCGACGCTCCTGGCGAGAGAGATGACCAGCAACAACAAGCCGAAGCAGCCGAAGCAGAAGCCGAGGCCAAAGATGTCCAAGCTGTCTAAGAAGGAGCGGATGAAGCAGGAGCTCTTGGGCCACATTGGCAGCGATTTCGATGCGCTAGCGCAGGACGCGCAAGTTGACCGGGTTGAGGACGACCCGATGTTCGAGACCTACGAGCAGCAGGCTCGGCAGTCGATCGGCCAGATGGCCAACAACGCGAAGCTGAGGCCAGACGACGAGCTGACCCTCCGCGAGTTCTGCGACCTGATCTGGCGCGCGGCCAATTGGTCACCGCTGGATCCGGACGAGAAGCAGGAGGGCAGCGACAATTCCTTCGGCGTTCTCGACGAGGATTAAGTCGGGCCTGTCCCTCTACAGGGGCAATATTCAAAAATAGTTCAAGGATAGTCTGGGGACTATTTTTGAGTATTTTTGGCAATTTTGGAGCATGCTTGGGGTATTTTTTATTTTTCGTCGAAAATCCCCCTGTATGGGGGACACGCCCGACTTAAGACGAGGACGACGAGGAGGAGAAGAAGACGAAGACGCAGTCCGAGCTCTGAGGATGGGCGGCGCACAGAAGGGGGCGGAGCGAGGGGGCGGCCTTCTGAGATATACGGGGCACCCCTCCCGTCAGAAGCCAGACTGTCCTCCTCCTCCTCCTCCTCCTCCTCCTCCTCCTCCTCCTCGTGCGTGCGAGAAGCAGGCAGTGGCAGCGTGCTGCCACGGCGTGTCTCAGTGTCCTGGGGGCGATCCTCGGAAGATCTCTGGGCGTTTGAATCGGTTGGGGGAAGGGCGACACCCGACCACCAACCGCCTTTTCTGATGCAGCCCATGTCGCCCAGGAGAGGCCTGGGGGATGGTGCTGTCTCATCGTCGTCGGTCGCGCTCTCTTGCTCATGGCGCGGCAGATCAGGATAGCAGAATCCTCCTCCTCCTCTTCCTCTTCCTCCTCCTCCTCCTCCTCCTCCTCCTCCTCCTCCTCCTCCTCCTCCTCCTCCTCCCCCACCCGCCTCCTCCTCCTCCTCCTTCTCCTCCTCCTCGGAGCAGGCGATGGGCCCTCTGCAGGAAGCCCCTGGGGTCCCCGGAGGCCTCCGAGGTTCTCTGGGGCTCCTTAGAGGCCTCCGCAGAACTCCGAGGACTTCCAGAGACTTCGTAGAAGACCACAATAAACGTGGATGGACAGACCTCCGTTACCCTGACACGTCGATTAAGAAATTGGCCGTTTTCGGTTCGCGAGAGGACGTCGCGGCCGTCATTTTTGCGGGTCCAGGTCCGTCGGTTTCGGTGCCAGGCCGTTTTCACTAAGGGGAGGTCTACTAAAGGGAGGTTTGTCCACCGCCGAAATAACCGAGCATCGCATCTTTGGAGGGACGGGCCCCTCGCTACGGCCGCGCCGTTCCGGTGTTGCCGAAGGCGTCCCTGGCCCATGGTGTGCCCCCGGATCTCCTGGGAGGCCCAGGCCGCCGCCAGCGCACCCCTCGCGAGGGCCCAGAGGGCCCCAGGGGCTCCAAACTGGCGCGAAAAGCTGGAGACTTGTGCTCACTCGCTGCCCGGGTGGCCGGGGGAAGGAGCGCCAGACCCCGACCCTTTGGAACAGGGTGCCTGCGCGCGAGCGGAACCCAGCAAAAGGCACAAGGAACGACAGAGGAAGACGAGCCGAGACCCGCGAGCCCACAGAAGTCCCTTTTCCCGAGTGCGCAGCCCCCCTCAGAAAAGACGCCACTTTGGGCCAGGACCACTTCTCGCAGCGCCCGTGATGATGATGTGGTGTTAATACGGATGTTGATGAAAATGTTGTTGTTGTTGATGATGATGATGATGATGTTGGTGATGCTGTTGTTGATGCTGTTGTTGGTGAGGATGATGCTGATGATGATGATGATGATGATGCTGATGAGGATGATGATGATGTTGATGGTGGCGACGATGCTGATGCTGATGATGCTGATGCTGATGATGATGACGATACGGATGGTGACGGTGATGATGATAATGATCAGGGTGAGGATGATGATCATGATGATGATGATGATGTTGATGATGATTATGCTGATGATGCTGATGATGATCATAATGTTTATGATGATGATGGTGATGATGATGGATGATGCTGATGATGATGCTGATGATGATGATGCTGATGATGATGCTGATTCGGATGGTGCTGATGGTGCTGATGATGATGATGATGGTGATGGTGATGATGATGATGATGATGATGGTGATGATGATGATGATGATGCTGGTGATGATGATGATGATGATGATGCTGATGATGATGATGATGATGATGATGATGATGATGATGATGATGATGATGATGATGATGATGATGATGATGATGATGATGATGATGATGATGATGATGATGATGATGATGATGATGATGAGCTGCGCGCGCCGCCCGAGAGGACGGCTTCCCCACGGTGGGCGGCCGCGGCGGCCCCCCGCCTCGAGGACGGCGGGCCCCACCGCGCGCCCTGCAGCGGCGCCGCCCGCCGCCCGCCCCCTCCGCCGCCGCCCGCCCTCGGAGGCCGCGGGCGCCTGGGCAACGACCCCGAGCGGCCGCGGAGCGGCCACCAACCGGCCGCGGGCCGCCAGCCGCCGCCCGGCCCGCCCCCGGAGAGAGGCCGCAAGCGGCGCCCCCTGAGGCGGCCGCGGGCCGCGGCGCGCGTGCTCGGCGGCGGCCGCGGGCCGCCGGGCAGAGCGCGGAGGCCTCCAGAGCGCGGCCGCGCGCGGCGGCGCGCGGCGCGGCGCTCCTCGGCCTTGCCTCGCCGCTCGGGCCTCCGTCGCTCCCTCTGTCCTCTCTCCGTTCTCCCTCCCTCCTTCCTTCCCTTCCTCCCTCCCTCCTCCCTCCCTCCTCCCTCCTCCCTCCTCCCTCCTCCCTCCTCCCTCCTCCTCTTCCCTTCCTGCCTCCGTCCCCCCTCCGCCCTCCCTCTCCTGCCTCCTCCTCCTCCTCCTCCTCCTCCTCCTCCTCCTCCTCATCCTCCTCGCCATTTTTCTCCTCCTCATCCTCCTCTTCTTCCTCCTCCTCCTCCTTCTCCTTCTCCTCCTCGCCGCCTCGTGCCTCTCTCCTCGTCCTCCCCCTTCCCTCCTTTCGTGCCTGCGGCCTCCGAAGTTATCCCCCTGCCCTCGCCGCGGAACTGGCTCGGTGGCCGCAGCGTCATATCCCGATTGTGAGGCCGTGTGCGGTCGACAGCGGGGAGCCTCAAGCGGTGGCGAGGCGTCCTGGCTTGTTGATAGGCCCGCCAACGAATGTTCTCAGATTCTAAGAACCTTTTGCGGCTTGCACGAAATATGCTTAGAACGTTTCTGGCTGGAGCAGTCTTGTTTCTACACATTGTCTCTATGTTCTAAGAACCTCTGTCTTGTTATACGAACATTCACTTGAGGTTCTAAGAACAGTCCGTGGTAGCCCTATAGGGATGCCAGGACGGTCGGTCCTTGCTCAAGGGCCGAGGCTGGTTTGATTTTGTTCAGTTATCCGATCGAGCTGAAGCGGTTCGGGTGTGACCCCTTGGTGTGCCGCTGGAGGCGATCGGGGGCCCAGGCGATGGTGTGTGTAAGTGTGAGAGGGGAGGGTCCGGTTCGCCGCGTGCTTGGGATGTCGGAGGGTTGGTGCTCGTCTGTCGACGCGCCGAGGAAGGTTTCGCACCCGAGTGCCCGTGGAACTCTTTTTTTATTTTTCTTATTTTTGTTTTCTCTCTCTCTCTCTCTATGTGTGTGTGTGTCTGTGTGGTGAGGTGTCTGTCTTTGTTCTTGAAATGAACCAACTTCGCGTCGCCATAGATCCGCCCGCCGTGTCGGCACGCTGAGGCGTGTCACAATCTCGGCACATGCAAGATGTGTCATGTAGCTCCAGTATGTTTCTTCTCTGTCTTCGCATCACCATTAGTTGTGCTTCAAACTCACACCTTCGCCGATTCGCCCTCATTCCACTCCCGCCAGTACTGTCCACCAGTGCAGCTGTTTGTTCTCCAATTTTCTTTGCCCCTTTGCTCCACCTCGAGGGATGGAGAAACTCTGCCCGTTAGCCCGTGGCCACCTGCCAGCCCCATTGTGAACAGTTCTTTTGGCAAACATTGTTACAGCCCGCCCATTTGGCTACAGTCCTCTTTGCGTTGTAACCAGGAGCAGTCACCCGATCTGGAGCCATACTGGCTCAAAGGGCATAGTAGACACTTGCAGTCGCTGCCTCACAACGCCTGCAGGTTTCATTGCAAGTCCAATCTGCCAGGCCGTCTCTTCCTCTACGTTTGGCTCGGTTGTGGGCTCTAAGACGGAACACATGTGCTGCATAGCAGAGGGCTGTTTGGTGTTGGTGTGGAGATGAGTAAACGAGGGCGTACAGGCTTGGATAGATAATCTGGATGTGCATGATGAGCAGGACCAGGATGATGAGGATGAGGAGAGGGATGAGGGAGGATGGAGGGGGGAACATGAGAGTGAGGAGTTAGGAATATGTTGAGGAGGAAATGGACTAGGGGGAGACGAGAGCACATCAAGAAGGATATAACGTTTCTGCCCCAACCTCAAACCGGCTTGAACGGGGCATCCTTTTCAGCCTTCCCGCGTGTGGTTATGGATGGTTTTGTTCACAGCACCCCGAGTTATCGGGCTCTCTCTCCCTCACTCTATCACTCTCTCCGTGTCTCTCTCTTTCTCTCTCTATGTGTGTGTGTTACTTCTCTCTCTCTCTTTCTCTCTTTCTCTCGCTTCTCTGTCTCTCTTCCAGAGGTGGAAGCGTTACATGATGAGGAGAGGACTGACCAGATCCCTCGTCTCGTCTGCGATATTTCTAGATGTCGGTACCTTTCCTCTCGCCCTGCTCATGCGCATGTGTGTATGTATAATACGATGTGTCTTTGCATATGTATATATAGAGATATGTGCACACACATACATCTATGGGCAGATGTAAGCCACTACAGTGCGTACACCAGGGGATCCTACGCAGCTGTTTGACAATAGCCCACGGTCCTGGTTCTGGCCCAGTGGCCGCCGAGGTGGCCGCGCCACGGCGGGCCCCGCAGACTCCTCCTCTTGGTCACGGACGCGCGAGCGGCACGTGCCTCTGGCCTCCCGCACCTCCTCTCGGGGGCAGGAGCTCAGTGCAGAAAAAGACACCCAAACCTCTACCCTCCGCTCGTTTTCCCCTTTTTGGGCCTCCTGGGCGGCCCTCGTCGCCACCGCTGGATTCGCTTCGAAATCCTGGTCAGAACGCACCCCAGGAGAGGTCCGGGGAGTGGCGGTATCGGTACCTGTTGCTATCCCCAGGAGCACGACGACGGAACTATAGTGGGGGCTCGTGCCAAGAAGCACCCTCCTTGCCTCCAGGGTTGCCCTGGGTTTCTTGGGTTCCGATGGTTTTGCGATGTAAGCGTGACGTTCCCACACCAAAAATCGATGGACGTCCTGGGGTCTCACGGTTGGGTTTCTTGTGGGAGCTTTCTTGTGGACTGGCCTCCATTGCATGTTCGCAACCGCCACTGCACACAACAGCGTGGACATTTTTGCGGGGCAGGTTCGCGCGCCTAAGACGCTCAGCAATATCAGCCTTCGGCCGAAGGCGGCAGCCCGCCCACAGCTCGTGCTTCTTGCCCCCTGGAGCCTCGGCTTCCCCGAGAATCGCTCGGACACCGACGCCCCGCGCCCTGGCAGGCTCGTGCTGAGCAGCTGCACTGCCACTCCGCACGGCTCCACCCGGAGCCCGCGCCGCAGCACGCCTCCACTAGGACGGGCTGGCCTGGCCCTGACTGCGCCCTCCGCAGCACCCCTCCGCCGCGGTGGCCTGGCCTGACCCCAGGCCAGGCTCCCTCTTCGATCGGGCCCCCAACAGAGGGCGGGACCCGTTCGCCCACCAATCTTCTCAGTGACCCGCTTGGGGTCCCCAAGTACCGGCAGCGAGTCGACACTCACCGATACCGATACCGATACCCTCCCGTCGCGGTGCCGAGCATCTTGCTGGAAGCTCCAGCCGGCCGCTTCGACGGGAGCGAGCGCCAGGCCCGCCGCCACAGCCGAGGCGCCGCCGCAGGGGCCCACGTCGGGCTCGCGAGGGGCTCGGGCCTCCGGGCCGCTTCTCGGAGCGAGGCCGGGGAACCCGCTCGCGTGGCCGAGGCCCGCCGCGACCAGAGGAACCCCATCCATTCCTTCCGTGGCGTTTTTGGGGATGGCAGCACTACGACTGTGAGAAGCGCGTCGGGCGGAGTCCTCCTCCTCCTGCTGCTCCTCCTCCTCCTCCTCCTCCTCCTCCTTCTCCTCCTCCTCCTCCTCCTCCTCCTCCTCCTCCTCCTCCTCCTCCTGTCACCGACAACAACGGTCACAACGGCAAGGCTCACACCGACATGTCCGTTATCATATCGGTGTTATGTATGATTCATCGTATGTTTTCTTCTTCTTCTCCCCTGTCGCCCCGCGAACCCTTCCCCGTCCTCCTCAGATTTGTTTGCGGAGATTCCTCCAAGGCGAGTTTCTGGAGGACCTCGCAAGAGTTTTCAGGGGCTCGTTAGGCGCCTCTCGAAACGGTCCTTGTGCTTTTTGGCGGCCTCTGGGGGGGTCCTCGGACCAGCATGCCGCGAACCGTGGTTTCGGGTCGGCTTGAATGCTTCCCGAGGGCGTCTTGGGGCAATTCTGGTCCGTCATGGGGCCCTTTGTGGGCAGTTTCGGGGCTGTTTCGGGGCTCTCTGTGGGTGCCAGGAACCTTTTTGCTCGTCTTCTAGAGGTTTTCGGTGCCTCTCGGGCGTTCTCCGACGCCCAGTTCACCGAATCGCAAAGTAGCCAAACAGCGCACGACAACCAAATGGACAAACAACGTGTTTTGCGTTTCGAAAGCCTCTCGAGGGTAATATTGGGGTCGTTTTCGGGCGCATGGCTTGGGTCTGGGGCCGTTGGAGGCCATCTTGGATAGTCTTGGGAGTTTTGTGGGGGCCGCCGACGACCCATTTGCACGACTTGGCTAGGACTTCCAGAGGCCCCAGCATCTCGCGGGACGTTTTGAAGGGAGCGTCCAGGAGTCCCAGACGCCGGGCATCCCAGTTCGGGGAGGGGGTTGGATCCGCAGGGCCCCACATGATAGACATACAAAACATGGCGTGAACATATATATGTATGTATGTATATGTATGTATATATATATATATGTATATATACACGCACACGCACATTTACCTGTGTATTTATTGAATACATACTACAGTCATATACATACATACGCGTATATGTTTGTATGCAGAGGTCTGTACACATGAGCGCACATATACACATACACATACATATACATATATATATGCATTGATCATATTATTTAGGGGGCGATCATCGTGCAACGTGGATCGCGGGCGCGAAACGGCAGGGCGGGCGCCCCCGCCCCAGCCCCCATGCTTGGGCGAAAACGAGGGGCGCACCGCTCAACGCGTAGCGGCGCGGGGCGGGGCGAGCCGAAACGATGGGCCCGAGGCGTCGCGCAATCCGCCCTGATCTGCTGCATGGGCTAGTGCGCATGGAGCGGTTGGGCGGGCGCCCCCACCCCAGCCCTCAAGCTTGGCCGAACGCGAGGGGCGCACCGCTCGACGCGCAGCGGCGCGGGGCGACCAGAGCCCAGGCGATGGGCGCGAGGCGTCGCGCAGTCCGCCTTGCTTGCATGGGCGAGCGCGTGCGGGTGCGCGCGCGCCGCCCAGGGTCGGGGGACGGGCGCCGCGCGCGCTCGGCCGGGTAGGC